CATGATAGTTGGTTGAGCCTCATATCACAACAGAAAAAAGTTCTCACAACCTATGTCAGGGCTCTCCGAGCGTTACACGCTCTAGTGCACCCTTGCGGGTCCATTCCGTATTGTCTCGCCCTCTAAGAACTCTGCCTTCACTGCCGCACTTCCTCAGCAACCCAATGAGTCTGGCCGTCAATGCAGCATCAGTTTGCCCGATATGCGCCCTTGATCTTGCACAAATCCAATGTGTGACACTCCGTGAAAGCGTGCATCAAGGCGGTCATGTGTGCGGGCATGGCGCACACGATCAAGATATGAAAGATCTGGTGCGAGCTCCCGCAGATATCAAATTTGCCCGGTGCTAAGCGCTCTGGGATTCGGAACTGCACACTGCGGGTCAGATCATCTGTCTTTCATGGTAGTGGTAGACGCGGCAGTGAGCTTGCGATACGTACCGCGTACAGACCAGTACCCCCGCCGTAGAGAACCAGCTCTATCAGATACCATTTCATTCCCGCGTATTGCAGCATGTACCCGAGTCCGTACCGCTGGACTCCGTGCAATAGCGGTATGAACGATGATGCGCCAAGCGCAAAGTAGACGCCCACCCTCACACTCCGCCAGCGCAGCGTTCTGAACGCGGGGTTGGAGATGAGAACGGCAGTGACAGTGCTCGAGGTCAAGATCTAGGAGTCATGTCAGCACATCGAGGGAGCGGCGGCAGTGGCTCTCAAGGACTGACGATCGCCCAGTGCACTTTTTGCAATCTCGGTTCACAGAGGAAGATATAGTAGATGGCCGAAGCAAATGTGCCCGCCGTCACGATGACGATACCCAGCAGGTCCATTCCATGCCAGAACTCTGCAACTTTCTCTGAGTGATCTTTCATCAGGTGGTACACAGCGCTGAAAATTAAACAAGCTTCCGCAACCATAAAGTAGAGTCCGAACACGACATAGTCTCTTATCGAAACGTTGAGAAATCGAGGGTCGGAAAAGACCGACATGAAGGCAAAGGCGATGAATGGTAGGAGTAGAGCCCCGATCAGGTGGGTATACACATTAAAAGTCTCGTTATGCAAGGTAGTCAGGCCGGTGAAGGCTCCCACATAGCCTCCTTTTGCTAGTCGATAGCCGCTGCAGATGATCCGGTTATCGACCCGCCATTCGGGAACCTCATGCCATTTCACAGTTCGCGCTTTAGCCGACTGATTCTTGGGCGTCTTCATGGGGCTCGTACTGACGTTCTGCACGTGCCGGTTCTTGATTTCTGTTTCGAACATAATCCTCCTCCCTAGATTACTTTGACGGTGCTGGCAGTGGAGAGATGGAGAGCAGGGGGGATGGCGGATAAAGACGAGGCAAGAGCAGAATGTACTTCGAGGTGTCGAACCCAGAGAAAGTAGGGGCTTGAATCATTTATAGCACTGTAACAGTATACTAACAATACTAACACACGAGAACCCGTAAAGACGTAGCAAGCGAGCAGAAGGGCGTCACGAAGAGGATATCCATTTTGTATGGGCTTTAAGGAGACTAGGTCATATCTTTGAGAAATGTATTAATAGACTAGCATTAGTTGCCCTTTCGGCTCTGCCGCCGGGCGTAATAAATTGTGTGTGTGTGTGTGTGTACCAGTAATTTAATAGTAAAGTTTATTACGCCCGGGGACTAAGCCTAAAGGGCACGAATACTATTTTACATGGAGACAATTCATCACAGACGCCATGAACTCCTGCAAGCCCATACTTTTGCTTATTTCACTGTGCACACAAAATATCACAATAACCCACTGTCATGGAGTGCTCGGAAATTGCCAGGACACCTCGGTAACACGTGGCAACATCACCCAGAAATGGATGAATCACCTGCCGAGGCACTATTTGTGATGTGTCGGCGTGATCGGAGAACCTTCCTAATTTGATTCTCATCGATCTTCCTTCTATTCCCCCACTCCGTACTGACACTTAAAACCCCGCTGACTCCTGCTAATCAAAGCTCTGTCGTACGATAGAGTCTCGACGCAATTATCCTACGGTCCAGAATACAAATAAAGAGCTATTGGAGAAAGAAATCATATTTCTCACGTCTCCTGCAATTGTGACAACTGTGGAGGAGACCCAAAAAAAGAGAAAGAAATCACACACGCCTTGAGGAGTGGGGATAGACTTGGTAGCACATCCAAGCCTTAGAAGCAGTCCCGACATAGTTCCAATGGCTCTGCATTTCGAGAATGTCCATTGTCCCGAAGCCGGTATTCAGATCGATGCGGAGACCTCTTCAGGTCACATCAAGTACAATGGTACTTCGCCACCACTCTGGACGGGGAACATTCATCACATCTGTGATGCTAGACTGCCTCATTGTCCAGGGATCTATGCTTTAAGGGATTCGCAGCCTGGTGATGATCTAACGCTGGTCACTGCGGGCAGGGCTTCTAGCATTGCTCTCGATGCGGACATAATACACCGATCTCCGGTAGAGCGACTCATCAACAGTGGAGGGCAAATGATATTTTCGAAGAAGACTGTGATCTCGAATCCAAGTGGAAGCAGACTTCAGGTGTTGGGTCAATTTTCAGACCGAGATCTTACATCCTTATTGAAAGATCGGGCTACCGCTGCAAGCTATACTTCTAAGTACGGACCGGGCCGTATTCTGGGCAAAGAATAGGGGTGGTGAATCACGTCCTTAGCAATGACGTGTTGGCCATGATGTTCGTGGCTGGTCTAGCCATGTCTGAAACGTCGTGAACCTAATCCTGCAAATTACCGCCTTGAGTTCGCCTTGCAAGGTGCACAACATCTCGATGTCGTCCCACCAGCTAATCCAAATGTACGAAGGCATCCTGAAGAAAGTTCTACTGTACCTTGAAGTAGTGTCCATGTTTGTCGAGGTTTTAGATAGGGGCGCGCGATATCTTTACCTATACTACCGACCTTTGGGTATTGACCTTGCCGCTAAAATGATAGCCGTACCATTGTATTCGTGGTCATAATAAGATATACGCGCCTTCTAGTGCTTGGGGCTCCGAAATATCTATGTTTAAACAAGGCAAGATCTTAGCGCGTCGGACCTTTTATATGTAGGCCTATTAGGGCCTAGTGCCCGGCTTGGCGAATATTACAAAGAGATAGGAGGTGACGGGGCCCTCCGGCGACTACTGATTCAGTTTTGCGGAAGACCCTTCTTGGCTGAAACTTAGCCTTGGCGTAAGAAGCGTTGGTTGCTGGAATCCGTAAGCGCTCCATTCACTCACCAGTAAATAAGGCTTCGAGCGCTAAGCCACGAACCTTGATTTGTTCACGTTTTGGTTCAAACAAAAGCTGATTTCGAACATCCTATTTATCACAATGAGCAAGTTCTCACCTCACTAACTATCTTTCAGCTTCATGAAGAAGCAACATATGGTGAGCCAAGCAGCTCATCTGCTTCACCGCGTTAGAAGGCTGACTAAATGAAACGGAACAGGCTGAGGCTAATATCTCCAGAATCTCTCTCGGCGATGAATCTATTCTCTTCATTGTGTCAGTAACAACAAGCTTTAACGTGATCGATGTTACTAGCGGCACCAATGCTCTTCAGCTCATAATGCCCGTTCGGGGGCCTGATCTCATCCTTGGTCTTTTGCGAGAGACTCCACGCCTCGAGTCTTCTTTGGCATTGGGTCCCGTCAGTGGCAAACGCCTTCCAGGAAATTAAGTTAGGAGACCGAGAAATTATGTTTATTCTTACGTCTGGAGCACCAATCGAAGTCCATGACTTAGAAGGTGGAAGTGAATCCGTATTATTCATTGGTCAAATGCCGACTCTGGCAATCGAAAGGCTAGCGTCAGAGTTCGAGATGAGATTCACATCTGCTGAAGAAGGGATCTACACCGCAAAGTTTCGTCCAAGTAACAGTGAGTGCACGGTATGAGAAACACCTTTGTTCTTATAGCAAACTGACGTCGGTTAGACCTGTTCATATCAATCAGAAATCGCCTTTGGAGTTTAGCTGGCTCGCTGCAAAGTTTTAGCTTTCAGCGCCAGCTAGAGCAATATTATGCCAACCAAAATGAGCTTGCAACTCCTGCTAATCCGCTCCTACCTCCGGATCTAAGTGGAAGGCCACCTGTTCCTACGGATACTATTGAGGCTTTACCGAGGGAGAAACTTGAAATTTCAGCTGCGAAGACGTTAGGTGATAAAGATTGTCCTGTATGTATTGGGCCTCTGATTGCAACGAAGCTGCCCTGTGGTCATTGGTACCACTTCGCCTGCATTAAGCCATGGTTAGAGATAGCCGATTCCTGTCCACAGTGCAGGGATGGCATCGTTACGCCTGGTCCCGCAACGGTCATTCCAGAGCAGCCATGATGAAATACTTAGTCAGGTCTATCAGGACATTTTGTACGAGTTTGCAACATTTTGCGCCGCTTGGGTCGAGACGAGACCTTTTAATGTTCTTTATCCCACATGGTCGGCGATCACGTAAACATTTCAAGACTACGCAACCTCCGTGGTTCAAGTGTGCCTGACTGCGCCTGGTCCTCCCAATGGCGCTACAGTAAGTTGCTGCATCATGTTAGGGTCGGCATCCGCTTTCATCCTTGCCATTTAACTTTAACAACAATGAATTATATCTCTCAGCTATCATTCTCGAATTGCACTCGAGCACCCTTTGAGCCCTCGCAAAGGCAGCTCCAAGCAGCCTCGCCTTTCGTAAGGCCTTCATAAATGGACTGTTAGCTATGGATCAGTGTAAATTCGATTTTCTGAAGAAAGTTGCGCAGAGCCTCGACGCTTTGGACGACAGGCTCAAGTTATCCTCCCAATTTTGAGCATCCCTCTGCGCCTCAACAACCACGATGGGTGTCAAGGAGGTCACCCTAGCCGAATTCATGTGGCAAAACTTCAACAAATCCCTCTCCATACCTAACGAGCATGGCGGGCAGGGGAAGACTGTGCTATACCCGTTCAACGAGTCCAAGAAGCATAATCGGACGGCAGCAGAGACTGTACTACTCTTCTGCGGCTACGATCACGAAGGGAGCGCGTCATTGGTGTTGGTCATTCAGCAGCGCCGCCGGGTGGAATTATCGACCCTGGCAAGACGCCCAGCGAGGCAGGCTATGCTGAGGTACGGCAGGAGACCGGCTTCGAGGTCGTCTCTGCAGAACGCAGTTAGAGTAGCCTGGTATGCGTTCGACAAATACTACGCGCTTACCGACTCAGTACCTGCTTATGCCGCGGCCCTTCTCCTCCATCCCTCAAAGCGAAAGACGTATATTACAAAGAATTGGAAGCCCTCCTGGCAAAGTAGGGCAATGCAAGAAGTTAGGAAGTCATGGCAGGAGCAGTATAGCACAAGAGACGTTCCTCGGCCGGCAAGTCCGTCGTCATTCGAACGGAGTATTGAGCCCGATGAGTTTGATATTATTGAGCGGGAGCTTAACGTTGTTCAGCTTAAGGCTTCAAAGCGAGACGATATTGATAGCTTTATAACAGCCGAGCCAGTTCATATTGAGAAGACGGCGCTGGAGTGGTGGCTAGAGGAAGCTCAGCGCCGTACATATCCACGCCTCTCCCAGAGGGCAATAGATATACTGTCTATACCAGCCATGTCAGCAGAGGCAGAATGTGTCTTCTCAGGTGCCCGTAGGCAGATATCCTGGAGCAGGGCGAGATTAGGAGCCGGCACAATTGAGCATATGGAGTGCCTAAAGCACTGGATGAAAAATAAGGTGCTCAAGAACTACCAGTTCAGTATGGATGATGACCTAGTAGGCATAGATGTTGGGAGAGGCGACAGCGAGGTCTCTATCGGATGTTAAAGTTACCACTGCTTATTAACTAATCAATATTGATCTTTGAGGTCTGTTCAATATTGAAAAGGTCAATATAAGCCTTATATCGAATATTGATTACTGAATACATCACTGATCGTGGCCCTGAGCATTTTTGCAGCCTTAGTCAACAAGGGCCAGTGACCGCTGGAGATATCCGATATGCCTGCCGCTGTTGCATTAAGCCCTTCAGCACAGTGGACGCAAGATACATGACGGCCATGCTATCGACATCTTCCTGCACAAATATTTCCTCTCCTGGCTTGAGACGTTGAGCGTGATGGGCGATGGCTCTGATAATGTTGGCTTCGTCGCTATGTTGAAATCGCTCGTGGCAGAAGACGAAAGTCAAATATCACTCTTTCTACAAGATGCATGGAGATTTGTGCTCGCTTTCAATTCTACCGTGATACAGCCCCCGTTACAAGTATATGCTAGTGCTCGGCATTTCAGTCCGCTGAAGAGCATCGTCCGAAGTGTTTTCTCGGATTAGGCATTGGCCTCAGTCAGAGTAACACAAGGGATTTCGGACCGGTGGATCGCATGTTTACTAACTTGTGAGGGCTATTCGGGTCGGGTCTACGGCGTGGTGTTCTCGCCTGACGGGAAGCAGGTGGCATCGGGCTCCTATGACCAGACTGCGGAGTATGGAAACTCAGGCAAGCAAGTGTGAACACAAGCTTGAAGATCAGCTGAAGAGTCATTCGAGAGATACTTGCTAGTTTCAAAGCATGCCCTGAATGGATGCTAGCACCACGACGCCGTGTTTTCCGCAGCCGATAACACAGGGTTGTTCAATGCTTTCTTGATCATGGATAAACCGCCGCAGTTGTGGGTCATCGTCGCTTGATATCGCATTCGCATCGCGGAGCGGTTCGGTCGAGAGAAAGAGGCCAATGATATCTTCACCCATCATTTCAGTATGACTTGCGCGTTTCATGAATTGTCTGCCCGTCATTCATCCGAATCTCCTCATATCGAACGTAGACCTAGTTCCCCCAGTATTGTTGATAACACTAGGGTGGGTTTTTTTTCGGAAGGGAGTAGTTAAATCTAGTTGCGTGAAGAGTTTGCTCTATGCCGAAGCTCAAGCGACGAAAGTTGAAGAATTGGTGCAAGGGCAAGATTGTGGACGTAGGATGCAGAACGAAGGAAACAAGGTGTCTGTCTGCGTCATCCGGCAGACTTTCTGGAGCAGGAGTGGCTGATGTCCGCAGTGGCGCTGCCAAGCGGATCAGGATGCAGAGCTAAGATGAAACCAAAGTTGGCTAAGGATGCTGAACTCTTGCTGCTATAAGTCAGATCACAAAGTCACGAGATTCCTTCGTATTTATCATTGGTACTACTCTGTAAATACGAGAAGGCCCCTCTTTTTATGCGCTTTGCCTATTGGTGAAGCTAATATGTCAAGCTTTACTTAATGTAGTATATCATGATCTCTAGTGGGTCAAAACTGGGTCTCGAAACAAAAGTGTGTGTGTGCAGAAACCGAAGCCGCAATTGCAAACGGCTGTACAACTGGGAGGATCTGGTAATACAGTAGGAAAACCACCTACACGCGAGGAGGGCCTGTACTGTAGAAAGAAGAAGGACTGATAACCACGAAAGGAGCGACACGCGACGCGCCGGACTACCCCGCAAATCCCAAAGCGGGACACGCGCATTAGCGCCGGCAGGTCCCGATGCCAACATCAACCAAAGAGAACTCGAAAGCCCAGCGCGAAGGCGGTCGCTGCTCAAGAGGCACAGCGTCTCCTCGACGATGAGACGATCACGGTGGAATCAACACCCGACGAATAGCATAGCCAAGCTGTCAACCCTGCGAACGTTCAAGCCCTCATACTGCTCATCACGCGACAAAGCCAGGTCATTGAGACCATCCGAACGGAGCT